GTTCAAATTCATGTCCATTGAGTCGGTAATGCTACCTACTCATCTCATCCTCTGCCACCCCCTTCTCCTTTGCCTTCAGTCTTTCCTGGCATCTTTTACAGTGAGTCAGCTCTCTGCATGGGTGGCCAAAGTATTAGACCTTCAGCTTTCAGCAGCAGTCCTTCCAGTGAATATTCAAGGTTGATTTCCTTTAGGATTGAATGGTTTGATCTCCTAGCTGTCCAAGGGACTCTCAAGATCTTCTCCAGCACCAAGGAATTCAGTTCAGTTCAGTAGCTCAATCATGTCCGACTCATTGTGACCCCGTGGACTGCAGCATGCCAGGCTTTCCTGTCTGTCACCAACTCCCGGAGCTTGCTCAGACTCACTTCCATCGAGTCAGTGATGCCATTCAAGTGTATTATCCTCTGTTGTCCCCTTCTCCTCTTGCCTTCGATCTTTCCCAGCATCAGGGTCTTTTCTAATGGGTCAGTTCTTTGCATCAGATGGCCAAAGTATTGGAATTTCAGCTTCAACATCAGTCCTTCCAATGAACACCCAGGACTAATCTTTAGGATGGACTGGTTGGATCTCCTTGCAGTTCAAGGGACTCTCAAGAGTCTTCTCCAACACCACAGTTCAAAAAACCATCAATTCTTAGGTGCTCAGCTTTCTTTATAGTTCAACTCTCACATCCACACATGACTACTGGAAAAACCATAGCTTTGACTAGATGGACCTTTGTTGGCAAAGTATACCATTCTGTCCTTTATTGTGCCCATCTTTGCATGAAATGTTACCAAGGGATGGGTAACTCCTATTTGTCCTCCCTTTCACATTGCCCCAGGCTACTTACCCTGAGTCTGTATGCATGCTCAACCATATCCAACTCTTTGTGACCCCATGGACTGTAGCCTACCAGGCTCCTCTGTCCATCAAGTTTCCCAGGCAAGAATACTCCAGGGGAATCTTCCGAACCCAGGGCTAGAACCCACGTCTCCCGTGTCTCCTGCACTGGCAGTCAGATTCTTTACCACTGAGCCACGTGGGAAGCCTTCCGAATCTTTAACCTTTCGGTTATCCAGATTATATTTGCAATTTATTAAGTCATGCAAGCAAAAGTTGCTTTCACATCATCATGAGGTCCTTTTAGAACTATCCAGGTTAACTCTGGAAGTACTCAGGGTTCCCTTTCTTGATTTTTTCTTTTCTCTCTGGAATGGAATGTTGGGCTCCACATGTTGTTGAGACTGTGAAAAACTTTGAACCCATAAGTTCAAGCTTGGTGAGTATGTGTCTGTTTCCTGGACGCACTTCCCAAGGACCTGTATAAAAAGTGAATCTGCTCCCCCTAAGGGGTGTTGGATCTGCTCCAGGATAATGGTGGGGTGCCCTAGGGTTCTTCTTGTCCCTAAGCAAAAGCAATTTCCTGTCCTCTGGGTCGGCCTGCAGCCTGCTCTGACCGGCTGGGGCCGCGGTGCTGGGCTGGAGCCCGCAGAGCTATACCTCTCCCTGAGCCGCAGGGTGGGCCACGCTGGTCACGTCTCCCTGAACAAAGCAGAAATAAATCACACACCAGCCCCTGCTTAAGATCTGATGAAATTCTCCATTTCCTCTCCAAATTGAATTCCTCCCGAAGGACTGGAGCGGCTCCTGAGAGTAATGAAGGCACTCCTTCCTCCTCTGCTAGAAGCATGTTTTAAATTAACGGACACAGCCTTCTAATCTGGGTGGGGAGGGAGCTTTTAGGAACAGTCTCGAGAAACTGTTTTCAGACCAGAAATGATATTTTTAAACTTGAGGGGGGAGGCAGCAGACAGACAATACCACGTGGCCTTTGTCGGGAGGCAGCCCCGCCGGTGGTCTCCCGGGAAGGAAGGAGCACACGTGTCCCGCTGGGGCCCCGCCCTGCCCCGCCCCGCCCCCTGCCCTGCCCCGCTGGCCCCGAGATCACTTGCAGTGAGAATTTATGACGGAGAATACAAAGAAGAGGCACTGTGCTTTTTGAGAGTTGAAAGTATTACTTTCCCACCCGTTTCTTATTTGGGAAAAGTGATCAACTCTGTGATTTTGAAAAAAACATTTTTTTAAATAAACTTTTTAGGATGAAGATGTCATTGAAGTGATTATCTTCCACCCTCTGTAATGATGATGAATCAACAATTTGGCGTTTGTAGAGGCAGTTGACACAGGCCCTTTCAAGGGAAAAAAGAAAAAAAGAAAACCCGTTTTCAAATGGAGCTTGTCAGAGGGAAGACTGATGCCCGGCTGACTGACTGGGACCACGAGTACGCGTCTGACAACTTGGAAAAATGTGGAGAGCCCAGGGGTGAAACTTATAAATCAAGTGAAAGGTTTGAGTAGAGAACTCTAAACATTCATTCTGTTTTGAAGAAGGGTGTGAAAGAAATTATCTGTTGGTAGAGGAATATTTAATATTACTCCTTGAAGTGAGTTTGAGCATTATACTGTTCTTCATTTATTGTTGAAAAAAAAGCAGTTTAAAAATTCTAGTTACCATGAAAAATCCTGACATTTAAGTTCAAAAGGAGAGTAGTAAATTCTCCTTAACTTGAAAAAAAATTCTATTCGTCCTTTTATGTCCAGGATTTTGTTAACAACCCTTGAGAAAGATTATCAAAACCTCACTCTGTGTTTTTAATTTAGTTTAAGAAAGAAGCCATCTTTATGGGGAGGTATGATCCATAGGTAAAACCCAACCTTAGACAGAGAACTCTGCTGCAGGAGAATTTGGGGTCTGGTTCTCAACTGGAAAATTGCTTTTCAGGGAGAAGGTCATGTTTTCCACTGATAATAGGGTCATTTGTATCAAGCAAAACGCACATCCTTCCAATCTAGAAGAAAGTTTAAGTTTCGGTTTTCTGAGAAGACAGTAGGAAACACATTTCTCCCTGGCTAGGAAGAGAGTTTTGAGGACAGGGAATGGGAATTTAGGCACCATTCCAGCAATGTCTGGGTCTGTCCTGAGCCCAACCAAGGCCAGGGTGGTATCTCCAAAATACCGGGTCTGGTGGAGACAACGAAGACTATTGAAGGGGAAAAATTACAGGACAGGAAAATGAAATGCCACCCCCACACAGCTGTTTTGTGCATTCCTTTAGCGCTCTCAGACTTTGATATTTGCATAAAAGGGCCTGGATCAACTTCCACCCTGGGACAAAGCAGCCAGCAGGTCGCCGTGGACAGGGCAGGCTTTTTCCTCATGAACAGTCTGCAATTTCACAGTCATCAGCGTGTGTACCCCTCCTGGGCCGAGGGGTCGGCTCAGCCACACCATGTCTGTAACTCTGCGTGCACCGTCTGGGTCTCTGGCCAGCAGACCTTTCCAATGCAGGCTTGTCTTTGAGCCTGTTTACAAAGCCTGAAGTTACTTCTGTTTTGTTTTAGCCAAAAGGGTGAAGTGCTGCCAGCAGTATGTCTGGAATGTTATTTACTTGGTACATTTCTGTGGCTTTTCTTTGTAGCGCTGCACATGCCAGAGCAAAGGGTCATTTACTTGAAAATGCCAGGTTTCGCAGTTTGTCTTCTCCATGGGCGACTTTCTCAGGAAGAGGAAGTTTAGCTCCTGTGCCTCTTGGTTCCCTCCCACCCTCCTCCATCCCTCTCACCCTTCTCTCCATCCCTCCTGCATTCCTTCCTGGTTTCCTTTTTTTTTCTTTCTCTGAGTTAGTGCTCTGAAATACTGTTGGCGCCTGCTGCATTGCACCCTTGTATCCTAAGTGTCCCAGCTACACTTTTATTTCCTGGAGTTTCTGGTGGACTCTGCTGAAATCCTGGCAGACACTTTCTCATTTGCGTGCCTGCCCTGTTATTATTGCACATGAAAGCTGTCTGTTTTGGCACACACGACTGCCGCGATTTCAGTTGAGCTCCCTGAGCTGAATGGGTGAGGTTGTGCAAGGGAAATACAGGTGGGGTTTTCTCTACTGGTGGCCGTGGGGGCGGAGGACGAATCTGCAAGCAGTTCTGGCTTGTGCAGAGCCCACATGATGGCAAATGCGTGGCTTTTAAAGGAAGGAACCAGTGTGTACAGTTTCTTAATTTGGAAGGTTTCACAACTGCTTGTGTTCAATTGATGGAGGAGAGGTTTTTTTTTCAAAGCAAATTCTTCATTCATAAGACTGTAAACAAGTCCTGGATAAATGAGAAATACCAAAGCACAGGAGGTATATTCCCTTTACCACTTCTCTTTTCAGCCTCCCTTCCTCCCGTTTCATCAATGCAGCTCTAATCATGGTGTTTGGGGTTTTAAAACAAAGTATGGGAAATGAGATTAGATATTAATAAATCTCCCTGGCTGGTGCCAGCTCTGGGGCCATTTGCACACCTGAGTGAGTGAACTTCCTTCTCTCTTTCTGCCTGTCATTGTGTCATGTGAATTATAAGCGTCTGTAGATAGGAAAAGATACCTTTGAAAATCTCAGCCTTACACAGATTCAGCCTTTATCAGAGTCTCTTGAAACCTCACCCATCCAGGGAACCTGTGAGTTTTTTACCTCTGTAACCAACCCTGGCCTGAAATAGAAAATGTTTGGTTCCATTCTTCTCGGCTTTTCCTGTCCTTCTGCGTGACTTCTCACTTTGTCTGTAAGCTACTCAGATTTTTGGCTGAAGGGTCTTCTTTGATCACTGTCTTGACAGCATGGGCTTCGCGTTCCCACACCTGCTCTTCTTTTACAGTCCAGATTTCAGAGTAAACGCTTCCATCGCCTTGTAATTTCTTCAGTGTAAACCTCGATGCAGGTTACTTATTACAGGTAATAGCCTTTTGATGACGGAGACAACTGCTTGGCAGAAACGGCAGCCTGAACCGCTGCCAGGAACACAAACTGCCACTTTATTTATTTCTAAAAGCATCTAAGTTGCGAGCCTATCAGTCGTGATCTAGCATGCACATGATAATAACAGGCTGGCAGGGCTGAGAAAGCTCCCCCAGGGGGGCGGTCATGAGGACAGGCCCTGACAAGACTCTTGTGTGTTTTCTCCCCCATTATCCACAGCCCACACATCATCTTCCTCTCTCAGAGCACCTTGACTGGAATGAGCCAGCTCTGTGGGACTCGTCTCTGCCATGAAATTGCTCACTCCTGGTTTGGCCTGGCGATTGGGGCTCGAGACTGGACAGAGGAGTGGCTGAGTGAAGGGTTTGCCACTCACTTGGAAGATGTGTTCTGGGCCAAGGCACAGCAGGTAAGTTTCAAGTGCACTAAGCATTTCAGTACCCAGAGTCAAGTTCTCATTCAACAGATAGGTATTGAGTGCTCATTATGCACCTAGGTACTTGTTCTGTTTGCTTTGTAAATGAGAGGAGAGACCTTGCTCCCTGTGGGGTTCACTGGGGTTCGCGATCTAGTGATGACAGGAGACCAGGTAGGTAAACAACAGCATCTGCAACTTGTAGGGATGAGTACTGTCAAGAAAATGAAGCCAGATAGAGAGGGGTGGAGGAAGTGCTGTTTTAGAAGGTGCTTATCAGAGAAGGTCTCTGATGAGGAGACGTTTGAGCAGAGACTTGCAGAACAGGTGGTGCTGTGGCGTACGCAAGCACTCCTTTATGCCTGTGGTTGTGTTGACATCGACCATGTTCTGCTTTGTTAAGTGATGAGGTGAAATTTTAAATCCAGAGTGATGATCTCAGATGTCTGCTGCAAGTAATGAGGAATGAAGCAGCTGGTGTTGCAGATTAGGGAACGGGGAGGACTGTGATACACCGGCCGCTTCCCCTCAGTCCTGGCCAATTGCTGTCATGTTGAAAGGAGGGCCCAGTAAAGCCTGGACTTCTAGTGTTTTAAAAGAAACTATATGACTCTGGATTTTTATGTGACATTTATCAGTGTGAAAAATATGCAGACTAAATACACACCGAGGCCAGACCTGGTTAACACAGTCCTAGTTTACAACCTCAACTTTAAAGAATTAGGCACCAGCAATAAGGGAGATATGGCAGCTAACCTGCTTCCTGCTTGTTTTCCAATTCCTAGTATCTGGGTCACGTCTTTTCCCCTACCGTCTCTGCGTACTGGACTATTTGAATTCTTCTGAAATTTGCAAGTTTGTACATATCTGCATGATTTTGTTCAAGTTCCTTCTGCCTGTTGAAATCCTTTCACTAGCCAGCTTAAGGTCACCTTCCTTTGATAGCCCAGGCTCTTCGTCTCATTCACAGTTCAGTAGTGCTCTTCTAGAAACTTTGAGTTTCCACTGCAGTTGTGCTTACCTCTTTTTTCTCACTTGCTTCTTCTTCCTCCTGTCCCCATGAGTAGGCGATGACCTCTTTCGCAGTGGCACAGTGGCCTGCTCATCCTCCCACCCCCCTTTCCCACCTTGGCTGCTGAGCTAGCAGTGTGCAGAGCTGTGTCCCCCTCCACGCAGAATCCTGTGAAGAGAGGTCACATGGCGGATTCTTGAGCAGAAAGGCTGGGTTTGAAGTAGGACCCAGGTTGGAATCCCAGCTGTGCTGTTTACCAGCTTTGTGAGTGTCAGGAGGTTAAGTCACCTGCCTGAGGCTCAGTTTCCTCATTTTTAAAATGCTTAACCTTGCAGAGTGCAAGGGGTGGTGTGTGAATGAGCTTATTAGCACCATGCCTAACGCATGGAGTGCGTGCAAGAAATACCCGTTGTCCCTCCTGTTCTCTTCATCCTTGTTTTTGCCCCCACCTTGCGTGGAGTAGGCATTCAGCAAGGAGTGAATAGGTTTAGTGTAAATGTGCCTCTCTCACCATCTCTCCCCTGAGGTGCTTCCGTTGGAGACGATCAGATTTGTGCTATTCTGGTGATCAGGAGTGTATGTCAGGTGTCTGATGGCCATCTCTCTGCCCTTTATGTCCTGAATCCCCAAAGAGCACTCCCCCTTTATCCTTCCTCTTGCCTCTGCCTCCTGGAATCTCTTTGCTTGGGTCCTGCCTCTAGCTGTTCTGCCCTGCATCTATCAGTACTGATAGAGGCACAAGACTGGCCTGGCTGCATCTCACAGCTATAAACCTTCCATGTGTCCATTCTCTGCTAGATTCATAGAGATAAAAGGCTAAGTCCACCGCGCTGCTTTGAGAAAGGTCAGAGTCTAGTTTTGAAGATATGGAAAGCATATAGTGGAAGGAAGAAGAAAATAAGTTAGAAAAGAGAGGTAAACACTAAGTAGTATGGGAGTTCAAAGATGAAAGAGGCTGGATATGAGAAAATCCAGAAAGCCTTCTTGGAGGAGATGACTTCTTATGAGCCTCAAAGGGAAATAGGGGTTAAAGTTTCGCTGTCCCTCTTTTACCCTTAACCTGGAGTAGGGGGCAGTCCACCTCATCATCCTTCAAGGTACATGCAGTAAATCTTCAGTGTGTGAAAACACAGACACCCCCTGAAGTGAAGTGTCCATTCTGGAATCAGCACAAAGTTTGGAAACATTTCCAGGGTTCATCGCTTGCTCTGATCCCTTCCTTGAAGGTATAAGACTGAGCTTCTGGTGGTCCCTGCCAAGCCTCCTCAGCCAGAGAAAAGTGCTCCTCAGGGCAGAAAAGGGTGGGTGGCCTCAGGGGACTCTCCCGCTTAACAGGTTGCTTCATCACTGAACAAGGCATGAGAGTGCAATGTTGCTTTTCTGCCCAGGAGACTGTACTTCGCAGCGCCACACATTATCAAGTACAGCAAAGGGGAGTGGGGGACCTCTGAACAAGGAGATAGAAACCTCCACTCCTCTCAGCGGCGTTCCACACAGAGAAGTGAATTGAATTAGTGGCAAGTTGAGTCATACAACTTGTCATCACCTTTACAGGTGTCTTAGTCGGCTCAGGCTGCCATAACAAAGTACCACAGACCAGGAGGCTTAAACAGGCAAAGTTCAAGATGGAGGTGCTGACAGGCTTGGTTTCTGGTGGGGCCTCTCTTCCCTGGCTTGATGAGGGCCATCCTCTCACTATGTCGTCACATGGCGCAGAGAGAGAGTTTCAGTGTCTCTTCCTCTCCTTACAAAGACACCAACCCTATTGGATTAGGGCATCATCCTTTTGAACTTGTTTAACCTTAATTACCTCCTTAGAGGCGCCTATCTCCAAACACAGTCACACCAGTGACTAGGTCTTCAACATAGGATTTCTGCTGGGGGAACACAATTCAGTCCATAACAACAGGACACACAAGTTTTGTTGATCATATCACCACTGCTAGCTACTTGGCACTTCTGTCCCTCCCTGAATGGCAGCCTGCTCCCTGGCCAACCCTAACCTTCCCCATTTTTAAAACATTTCACACTCTTTCCAGGCCCCACGAGCTTTGTACATGCTTCCCCTCTTCCTGAAATTCCTCCTCTCCTGGCTGACTCCTGCTTTCCTTGAGGACCAGTTCAAACCCCATCCCCTCCACAGGAAAACCTTCTGAACACCCTGGTTGTCTGGGGGGCTCTGGAGTCCTTCCTAAACCCCTACCATCACTGGACTCCAATGGTTAGTATTCTCATTTGTCTCCCTGGACTCCTCAAGTTCATAGCTGTGTCCATTATGTCCCCAGGGCCTAGCAGAAAATCAGTAAATATCTGTCAGTTTCCAGGAATGCCTATAGGCACTGACAGTTCCCTCCCCAGTGGATGTCCTGCTGCCCACCCCACCCACCCCCCCACTGTGGCATTTAAAGCCGAGGGGCCTTGTGAGCACACGGGTGACAGCAGCCAGTTCTGACCAGTAGGGCAGGGGTGATGGCCTTCCTGCCAGAGAGGGAGTTCAGGCATTGCGCTCTTCCTGGTTATATGCAAACAGAGTCATCTGGGTTACATTAGCAGGCTCCACTGTAAACAGCCCTTAACAAAACTGGGGGCTGGGAAAAAATAGGAGGTAAATGGAGGGGACCTTTCCCACCCTGTGTGAAAAGACAAGGCAAGACAGGGCTGGAAGGAATCAGAGTGGAAACTGGCCCCTAGGGAGGTCTGCTCTCTCCAGGGCGGGGCGGACAGGGGGAGGCGGGGAGGCTGTCAGACCAGGGGGCACCTCCCAAGCAGGCAGCGCGGGAGGGAGGGCCGGTTCTTCGTTTGAGGACCTGAAAGGCCTCTTTGGCCCTCGGACTTTCCCTGTGGGGCGCAAGGCACAGTGGGGGCTGTCTGTGCCATCCCCCCCGAAACAAAGCCCGCCGCTCCATTGGCGGCTGACCCTGCAGAAGACAACAGTGACTGTGTTTTGTGCATGTGTGTCTGTGTGTCTGTGCTCCAAGCAGCTGGCCCCCCACGAGGCCCAGGAGCAGCAGGAGCTGAGGGCTTGCCTGCGCTGGCATCGCCTCCAGGACGAGGTGCAGAACTCCCCGGAGGAAATGCAGGTGTTGAGGTAAAGTCCCCCTGATCCTGTCACCTTCCCGTCCTCCCCATCTCGCTCCTCCTTCCCTTCAAGGCACACCCAGGCCATCTCTTAAATCTGCTGGGTTTCCTTTTTAAATTAAATTGGGCTAGATTACTCATCCTCCCAGGGATGTGATTGTTAACATTTTAAGTCTTTCAGGGCGTGGGTTTGGATTTGCCTTCTGACATTTTCCTGGTGTCTGTGTTCAGGAAAACAACTAGCACAGGGCCATTTCCAGGATCAAATTCTTCGTTTGAAGTTCTAATAGTCACTTTACATGGTTGACCGTGGACTTTGGAGAAGGTGAGGATCTGGTAGCCTGGCAGACAGTAACCCTTTAAAGCCAAAAGGAGAAAAGAGAAAAAAAAGCCTTTAGGAAAATATTGATTCCTAAGTGTTTAGTAGTAACAGATGTTTGTGTCAATGGGGCCTTTTGTTCCGGCTGGGTCCCCAGCAGGAGGCCACTCCCGTGCCGGTGGGAGGATTCTACTCTTGGCTCCCTGGTTTTCTTTTCAGAGCGTGTCTTGCAGCACTTGTTGGATTACTTCTCTCGCCATTTCACCATTTGGGGGGGGGGGGGGCACGGTTTCTCTCCTTTCCTTTTCTTCACTTCTCTAAATAGTTGTTTATCTGAAACCTTGAGCCTAGGCCCCAGGAGCACTGTGGTTACTATGGCAACAGAAGCTTTCCTCCTGCCCCCCTGTCGACTGGAGCCAAGCCTTTGGAATCTGTAGTCAGACAGGTGGGAAGGCGGCCATCCAGGAATCGCCCCTTAGTTTAGATGGCAGCCCCCAGGGCCAGTCTACTGCCTGGGTAGGAGCCTGCCTGGACTGGTTCTGTTGCTGCTTGTTTTTAAATAAACACCCCCCTCTGCAGTGACTGCACACTAAGGCCAAAGTCTGAAGGAAATGCCGAGTCCAGCCTGACCCCGGTGAGGCTGGCCAGTGCTTTTGTGCAGCAGCGCTGGGTGTGGCCGCTCTTCCCAGGGAGATGTCTTCCCTTGCACACTAACCGCAGGCGTCAGCTGACTCATCCATTGTTTAGGAGCCAGGAGCCTGCCCTCCCCACCCAGCGCCACTGTGAGCATCCTTTCCCTCAGCTGCCGGGTTGGCGACACACGGGTTGGCGACACACGTGGCCACCGTGGATAGGGTCCCGGCTCTCTCGGGACTTACACTTAGCGGGGACCCTCTTGTGTGCACAGCTAGTTACAGGCAGTGAGAAGTCGATGCGAAGGGAACCCAGAGATTTATAGTAGGGAGGCTGGGCAGTGCCTCTTGGAGGAGCACCAAGGCCTGGAGGCAGGAAAGGGCCTGGCATGCTGGGGTTGAGGAAGAAAGGATGGTGGTGCGGTTGGAAGGGCGGGAGAGGCGGGTGGGAGCTGGATCATCCCGAGTTGCTCCAGGGCCTTAAGGACACAGGATCCGATCTGTCTGTTGTTTTTACGCTGCTTCCCTGGCCGCTGTATGGCATGACTGCAGGCAGCAGACGAAAGCAGCAAGAAGGGTTAGCAGACTGCAGTAGTCCACACTAGGGGTCCTAGTGGCGGCGGGGTAGACCCAGGAAGAGACCTGTTTAAGACGTGCTTTGGCAGTGGACCTGGCAGGTCTTTGGTCTGTTGAATATGGAGAAAAGGAAAATGAAAGTGTCCAGAATGACTTCTAGGCTTTTGACTTGAGCAGCTGGGTAGACAGATGGTGATGCCATTTGGTGAGATGGTAAAGACTTTGGGAGGAGCAGGCTTTGGAGGGAAGAATAAAGATTTCGGTCTTGCATGTTGTTAAGTTTGATATGCCAAATAGATGTTCAATGTGGAGAACGCAGTGGGGTTTACAAGTCAGGAGCTCAGTGGAGAGACTGAAACATTCACCCTATGGATACTTACAATTCTGAGCCCGTTGAAATCACCAGGTAGAAAAAAAAGTGAGAGAAGAGGTTGGGAGGAAGATGAGGAGTCAGCAGAGAACCTGGGGAAATCAATGTAGAGAAAACCCAGAGGCCAGGAGTCATGGAAGCCAGGAAAGAAAATGAGTCAAGAAGCCGAAGTGGGGTGTCAGATGTTGCTGAGGGGTGTTGTAAAAGGGATGGAGAAAAGTGACCTTTGTTTGGATCACTTGAAAGATGTTGGTGACCTTGACATGCATGCATTTATTCACGAGCTGTGGAGAAGGGAGTCAGATTGAAGTGGGTAGAGAGTGAATGGGAGGTCAGGTAGCAGAGACACTGAATCTGGACTTCGTGAGAGCAGTTGTGCTGGGAGGGGAGCAAGGTGAGCGTCTGGGAGGTTTGTTTTAAGGCGGCTGATGCAGGAACAGACTGGTGCGTGAGCTGTGTGATTTCACCAATCCCGCCAAGACTCAGGACTCTCAAGACTCAGTGTCCCCACTTTCCAAGTCTCTAAGTCCCTTCGATGCTTCCAGTTCCAAATGACCACAGACCATCCGAGTGGGTAAGGATATTATAACTAAAGTTAGTTGATGAAATGTGTTCCCAATATATAAACAGCCAGATGTCCACTGGGAAGTCAGCACACATGCAGAGAGCCTTGTCTCAGGGGTTCATGGAACTTCTGACGTCCAAGAGCTTTTCCTTTGTGTGTGGGGCTGGGAGAAGGAATACACTATTTTTAGACCCTTGTGCTAGAAGGCTTATTATGGCATTTGTTTTTCTTAGTATTCAGAAATTGTGTTTGCCTAAATTTAGGCTAACCATGAAATGAGTGCTTTTGAAAGATTTGTTGCACATCAGTATGGAAAATATTGTTATCAGATGCACTTACAATGAAGAGGAAATGTTTCTGAACCTGCCCTGAATTATATAGTCTCAGTTTAGTTTACTCCCATCCCTTAGAATTCTCCCTTAAATGGGCACAGAGAACCTAGAAATGACAGAAAGTGAAAGGAAAAGCCAGGGTTGTAAAAATTTATTCTCAGATTTTTGTTTTAATACACAAATAAGACCTTGGGAAAGAAGTCTCATAAAATGATAATCAAAGATGCTATCTTTTTTCCTTTTCTTTTAAGATTCCCCATGGCCTTGAAATAATGGACCAAGAAAAATTTAGAAGTCTTAGTTTCACGTTGCCAGATGCAATGGAAACTTCAACTTACCTTTGCAACAACTTTCAACATGGTTGACCACTCTTTCTAAAAACACTTTCTTCTCTTGGCTTCTATGTCACACTCTCCTTGATTACCTTCTGCTTCACTGCTGGTCCTTCCTCACCTCTCCTGCTGGCTATTTAACATCGTCCCTTAGGTGACTCATGGTTCCGAAAGACTGGTTAAGGTGACCAACATCATATAGCTGATTAAGAGCAGAGTGGGGATTGAAATAATCCTCTTTTCCCTACTCTATCTCCCTGCCTCTGAAGAACTCAATATAGCATTTAGTTGCGGTAAAAAAATAAAAAAGAAAACTCCAGGCATCCTTAACTGTGGAAGGACCTGAAGGTTATGTTGAAAAAAGAATTCTTAGACCAAAGCATCTTTGTGTTTTCATGCATAAGAGTGTGTCTGATTATTTCAGTCAATATAGGGAAACAGCAAATTCAATATTGTGTTGATGATATTAAAGGAGTATTAACAAAGTAAGAAGAGAAAAATTAAAATTATACTTGTCTCTAACTTGCTAATTTCAGTAATTTATAAGACCTGTTCCATGTGTTCCTTCCATATACCCGGTGTTGAATTATGGCTCTCATCAAATGTGTCTTTAATTGACCTAGTGGTAAGTTTTATTTGATTACAGCAGTTCCTTGTGTTTTCCTAGCTTTCTCAGCCTTACTGGCTGGGGAGCCTGTAACGTGCCTGCAGGCTCCTAAGGCATAGTTTCAAAAGGCTAGGGTCACATTACTACTGGCTCCATGACTTTTCTCATTTGTTAATTATTAAAATGCCTTTCCCATAAACGAGACCCCAGTGGCTGTCTCCAGACCCTCCCTCACCTCTCCACCACTCCGGGCAGAACCGTTCACCCTGCAAAGCCTGATCTTATTGCTGTTCCACTCTCCCCGGCCTGGCGGCCACCGCTTTACTCTCTCCTATTCCTTTCCCCAACCCCCGGCCTTAAAGCCCCTCCCTTGTCCAGTGCAGCAGCCCTGACTCTTGACAAGCAAGGTGCCTTCTGAAAGGCTCCCGTGCCTCTGGTCTCCAGGGTATAGCTGCATCCGGCCTCTTCTAAGTGCTTTCAGTCAGCGCGTCATGACTGGTCAGTGGAATGGAAGAGCTACGGTGGCAGGGTCAGAAGAAATCTCTGTTGGTTTTTATTGTTTGTAATTTATTATCACTTCCCCCCTTTTCTGGATTCATTGTTAAAAGTCAAACTCGTGCTGAGAAAACCTTAAAATATATCACGCTGAAGAGGTGCTGACAAGCCCAGAGTCTGACGTGGCTCTCTCTAGCTACTGCCTCCACAGTTGATACGGTTCTAGGGAAATATGAGCTCTTTTCCTATCTTTCTCATGAATTCCTCGCTGCTCCCCGCCATTACAAAGACATCCCATAATAAGAGGAAACCCTTCAAGTCTGTAACTCTTATCTATGGCCAAAATGGAATGTTCCTGCCATGAGTCCTGTGAATTTGCACAGTACCTAAGCACTATTTTCCATTTTTCCCTTAAAAGCCTATGTGTAAACCTTCTCTAGTATGCATAAAGTCTTCACCTTTAAAGTTTTTTCAAAATTCTTATTTCTAATCCTTCAAGAACACAGCAGTCTTTTCCCACCCACGTGTGGGAACGTGTCCATCCATAGCCACACAAGCCTTTCTCATGGAAAAACTCCAGCCCAGAATGTCAGTCTTCACCACTGCTTCTCCACCCTGAGCCTGAACACTCCCCGGAATTCTTCTTTCAGTCTCCCCTGGCCCTGCGGGCACAAATAAATCCCTTCACTCTGGGCAGCTCCCTTCTGTGTTGCCTTTGGTATCTATTCCAGACCTTCCCCACCCTCCCTTCCTTCTCTCGCTCCTGCCCCAAAGGGAAGACT